AAAAGCAGTTTTCCATAAAAATGTCTAGAGTCTGGTCCACAGATTTCATACTGTCACATCATCCACAACAAGAAAAACGTTAAACAAACAAAAAATCAGCGAGGGGGGTATAGCTGCCAACTCCTTTAAGGAATTTAAAAAAACTGTCCTTTATTCAGGACGCTGGGTCGGAAAGGGTTAAACCGTCAAGAAGAATAACGTCAACAAAAACCTATTATTTAGACAGAGATACGAATCCTATTCTGCCAGTTTCTGCCATTACTGCTTGATAATTCTGGAGGAGCATGAGTGAAACAAAGACATATAAGGCATCGCTGAAGAATGAGTTTCAAACAAATATTTTAATGGCTGTCTAGCCGATTCAGTTTTTAAACAGAAAAATGCTGGTAATTTCGCGAACTGTAACTGATAAGCAAACAAACTTTCTTTTTCAGTTTGTAACTGTTATTGCTTTTCATGCAGCTCACATTGCAAAAAAATTGAAAAGAAATGAATTATTTTTTGTTATTGATTTTTTCTTTTGATCTGTTCACTTTTATATGAGCAACACTTATGATTTCAAGCAATTTTTAGCGTAGCGAGAAAGAACCATTATAATTTCTTTACCTGTTGTTTGTTGCCAAATCTTCGAGTGAATTATATGTTGAAGTAACCTTTATTTTCGATAAAACAGTACTTTTCTTTCTGAGGAATTCTATCGTCACTGCAGTAAAATACAAGGTAAGAGCGCCACGTCAAAATATCTGTTCCAGAACAAAGGTGCTTTAATTAACGAGGAGGAGAAAAGTTTAACTTTTAACAAGGGATATTAGGTGATTGCGATTAAAACTTTAGCGATAGATTTCTAGACACTGATCGAGAATGAAGTTTATGCTCATATATTCAGCTCTTAAACGAGTGTTCATAAAGCCCTAGAATAGTGACAACTAATTGAGAATCGTGTTTAGCTGAACGGTAAAAGATGTCTTTTAGCTTAGCGATGGACTTTATGAAAAAGGCGGAGGCTGTTAGACGGGCCTACCGGCAGCTAGAAGCAGAACTTGAACGTCAAAAACATATTCAAAATCAACAGAAGGTTGTAGAAGAAATTAAGACACTGCAGCAAGCATTCGAAGATAAGCGGCAAAGTGAAGTCCAACGCAAGCAGGAAGAAGAAAAAAAACAACAGCGTCGACGACAACAGGAAGAAGAAGCTTTGGAAGAGCAGCGGCAACGTAGTAGAGAACTAGAAGAGATTGCTCGACTAGTTATGCAACGACAACAAACTCATTTGGGTATTGCTGGAGTTTTTCTATTTATCGGTGCCTTTGTATTTTTTAGTTTCGGTCGAGATACTAGTAGTTTTACATGGCATTATATTCATATGTCTGCTGCCGTATTAATTTCTATTTCCATTTATCTGTTCATTGCTACGGGAGCAGTACCTGGTGTTCATGCTGTTCATAGAATATTTGCTAATATCTTTACACATCTTGGTGCTGGTTTAAAAGAATATGGTGTAGCAGTAGTGAGAACTACAGTTAATATGCGTGCAGAAGTTCAAAGTGGTGCTTTTACGGATAATGGGAAAATGCTGTCGAGAGCTATCAGTGGGAATAGAGTTTTGGTGGAGGCAGGTGCTGTCCCAGTTAGACTAAAGGCTCACACACGTGCTCAAGTTGGACCTAAATGTATTGTTTCATGAATGTAACGACAACCCTATGTTTTTTATTTTCCGACAGAGATCGAAGATCAATAGACCATCTTTTGCAAAACACAGTACTAATAAAGAAAATTGCTTGTCTTAATCGAGAGATTCGATAGATTTATAATTTTTTGGACGCACTAGAAGTCTTGAAAAATCAGTTAGACACGAAAACGATAACTTAGATAAAGAAACCAACTCTAGATATTAGATCCAATCGAGTGATCTCATAACCGCGCGCCAGCAACGATTCAGACTGTAACTTTGTCGTGTTTCACTTCTCAAGTGTCCGAAAACCTAGGAAAAATCACAGCCGTAGCTACACGGAGAAAAAGCCGTGAAACTCATGACAGTTTTTATGTGCGGTTTCTCGCAATCAGTTTGGTATGTTTTTTTCACGGTTTTAGTTGTTCATTGTTTTGTTTCCTATGATGCCAATATGCTCATAGGAAAAAGCACAGCTACTCCATGAATCGAACACGGGACGCTTGACGAGTATGAATCATGAGACTAAGGCACAAAGCACTGAATCGAGGAACTTACAGAAGTATGTCGTCGCAATGCATACTTATAACGTTCTTGGGTAGACTTCGGTAAAAACTTCAACACCTTACAAAAAGCTATCGATGTTGAATTTGTAAAACTCTCCGCTATCGTACATGCACGTGAGATATAAAAGAGGAACGCTAACTGTATAGATGAGTGAATTGCGCTGCGATTGTACGATCGCTATCCGATATGTGAAATTTTTATAAGTTTTTTATTGCCGAATGAATCTGGCTAAAATTTCTGCACAATACTTAACCTGACTACGCGTGGTACTACTAAAAAGCGAGCTCAAAATGTATAGCTATTCCTGAGATATAAGCACTTTGCTGAGCGAACGTGTTATTTTGATGACACCTAGCGATAATAAAATTACTTTTCTAATGGAAAGAAAGCTTCTTTGAACTTAGTTCTTGAGAGAAAATTTTAGCCAACAGCTTACTTTTTCAGAAAATAATCATAATTTATTATGCATTCACAATTACGGGGGGATTGTACGTCAATAATGACTTTACCCACATAATGACGTTTTTTCGTAACGCGAAATTGAATGGATCATAACTCGGCCAGTTCTAGACTAAAGCTTTATCCAAAATGCTCAAAAGATATCCCACAGATAATGCTGCATTTCGATAACAAAGAAAGGTTTATTTGCTTCCATTTTGGCATAAAAAAGATTAAACTGTCCAATTGCGCGTTTTATGCTGAAAGTAACGCGAGATTTTTAAAATTCTTTTTGTTGTATTTTCCAAGCTACTTAACCTTGACCCTTGGCTTTTGTATACTTTTTTCATGTTGTTACCCTGAATATGTGATCAAAATTTTAGCTTGAAAGTTTGGTCGTTCGAGAGAAAATTGCATTTTACTGGTAAAAAGTTACTCTCGACATTAAAACGAGTGAATCTCTGGAAAAGTATAGCTTATTATACACGATTCGATTCTTCTCCGAGGGATCTATTTGCTGATGTGTATTACAAGTCCTCAAAACGGTTTTTAACTCTTTATCAAATGGTATATGACTCAAGTTCTTTTTCCTCCCTTTAATCCTCTTGCTTTCTTACCAGGCGGAGGGATTTCGCTCATTTCTCGAAATTTTAGCATCCGGAGAAAAAAGTAGCAACAGGCGGAAAGCTAACGTATTAATCGGTAATCGGTAGCGCTCTATTGAGTGTAAAACTTAGATTTTCTTCGTTTAAAACTTTTTTTCTAGAAATTTTTTTGATCAATCGTACAATGGCAGCGCAATTCACTCAAGTGTGTGTGGGGGGGCTTCTATTATGTGGGGGGGGGGGGGGTGGGTTTTGGCTGCAGAACAATTAAAATT